GACACCTGGTTTACAGGTAACGGGACTAGACATCTGGTTTACAGGTAACGGGACTAGACATCTGGTTTACAGGTAACGGGACTAGACATCTGGTTTAAAGGTAACAGGACTAGACATTTGGTTTACAGGTAACGGGACTAGAAATCTGGTTTAAAGGTAATGGGACTAAACACCTGGTTTACAGGTAACGGGACTAGACACCTGGTTTACAGGTAACGGGACTAGACACCTGGTTTACAGGTAACGGGACTAGACACCTGGTTTACAGGTAACGGGACTAGACACCTGGTTTAAAAGTAAGGGGCTGGACACGTACTTTTAAGGAAGCTAGTACTAGTTGTGAAGATATGGAATTTGTTTTTAGAGTTTGTAGGTTGGAGAAGAAGTTGGAGACTAGCCTAATTAAAGTAGATAAAGAGAAGGGTAAACTGTGGGAAATGGCACCAGGATTTCAAGAGGAGCTTAAGCTTTTACATGCAAGGAATACATCAGCTAACAATGACTTTCAGGAAGTTAGAAAGAGTACTGTTAGGGCTAAAAGTAGTGAATTTAATTGTAATATGCCTATTTTATTGAGCAACAAATTTCAGCCCTAGGCTTGTGTAGCTGAGGAACTATTGGAGAGAAGGAAAACAAAAGGGTCAAAGAAGGATGTGGATGATAAGGAGGTTATAGTTATAAGTGATTCATTGACGAGGCATGTGAATAGAACAGTCTGTGGGGTAGATAGGGAGAAAATAATTAGGTTATACTACCCAGGGGCACAGGTGGAGGATATAACTGACAGAAGAAGATATATAATAAAGAGGGCTATCAGAGATGCAGTTTTTGTTGTTAACATAGGGGCTAATGTTGTAGGGAAAGGAAGTTCAGAGGAGCTAATTAATATGTACAAGGGATTGATTTAAAGAAAAGTACCATAACTTAATTGTATCAGGGATACTGCTGAGAATTAATTGTGTGGATGAAATTATGAGTAGGTCACTAGGGCTAAATTCCAGGCTTAGGTTAATATGTAAGGATGAACAGATTGCCTGGTTGGACTTGTGGGATCAGATCAATGGGAGAAGGGAGCTTTTTGGAATGGATGGTTTATATTTAAATAGAGTAGGGTCTGACTTGTTTGCAAGGGCTATTAACTCGGCTGTAAGGGAAGTTTTAAACTAGAACTGGACAGTGATGAGGGTCAGAATAAATTAAATGTTTAGCATAGGAAATGAGTATAGAAGTAGTTATAAAGATAGGCTTAACTGTTACTAGGGCTAAAGTATAAAAAATAAAATACATAACTTGAGAGCACTGGTAGGAATGGAGGATTTTGATATAATGGGAATAACTGAAACATGGTTAAATGTAAATGATTCTGATGACAGAAATTTCTTTGAAATACAGGGTTATAGGTTATTTAAAAGGGATAGAGTTCTCAAGAGAGTAAAATGTGAGTTACATCCTTTTGAAATTGAGGACATCAAAGGTAATAGCAAGGAGATGGAATCCATTTGGGTTTCTATTAGCAGATATAAAGCATTCATATGAAAGCAAGACCCATTTGAGATCTTGCCTATGAAGGCCTTTATTCTCATGTTTTCTGATGAAATCTTGGGCTGGATTAATTTGCCTACCATGATTCCTTAATATCTTCAAGATACCTGGTTAAATAACATTGGATGCTTATTTTGTGGGTTAAAATATTTATAAAAGATTAATTAAGGGATCTGGTATCTTTGTTGTATCCATGATTATGAATAAATACATTGGAACCTCTCTAATTTGCACCTCATTTATCCGCATCCCAGTTTCATGGACAAACCTTGCATGACAACATTTACAACAACATTTTTTCTAAGTCATAATTTTTCTTTTCAATACCACATTCGATTGAGGATGCATGAGTTTTGAACAAAGACAAACTTGTAGAAGATGATTGCTTGTTTTGGTCTGCCTGTCATGCATCTGTTCAACCACAGCTTACAAGGCCTCCAGCCATTACAGCACCACTTCTACTATTTCATGAAAAATCCATTCCACTGCAATGATTATGCATTCCATGAAAATTATTAGAGAAGCTGTCCAATACCTGAATCCTGGACAGATACCTATCATACCATTGGACTAGCCACTGTTTGCTGTAGGCAAGTAAATGTAGTGGAACCAACCATATCTGTATGGAGAGGACTCCTTCCTTGTTATGATCGGTGGGTTGTACGTAGAGATGGTTGGGCATTGGATTGAAACTAGTGCATGGACAGGTGCTCTGGTACAGTCTCAAATTACAATTCCAGGGAAAGCACCCACCCTCACGTTCTTCTATGAGGAAAAATGAGCATTGGAAAGTAATCAGAACTACTCCAGTGTCTACAGACAGATGCTCAGGTGCAAGCTGATACTCCAGAAGTGGATATGAAGGTGCTGGATGGAGATGATATAGTGAATAGCTCAAACCTGGAAAAGTGTACCAAGTTTGTAATATTGCCTTACTTGGTGAACCAGGTCCATAATGTTATGAGAGTTGACATTATTTGGGGGAGAGATATATCAATAACAGTCTTAAAAACTGCACCAGAGAAGCACGTGGGAAAGGTGTCCACAGGCAAGTCCTTCCAGGGACAACAGTTCCAGGGTCTGGCAGAGCTTTCTTTGTTCAGACAAAAATAAGACAGAACTATTTTCATATCTGGCAGATGAGACTGCAACCTTGGATGTAGCTGGTGTGACGTTTGTGTCAACATACGATGAAGATATTGACAGTTCATCAACTACAGATAAGTAAGGACTTCTACCATGCAACCATGAGGAGGCTGACATGAGGATATTGCTCCATGTAGCCCATGGTACAACTGAAGGACATGGCTGACAAGAGGATACTGCTCCATGTAGCCCATGGTACAACTGAAGGACATGGCTGACAAGAGGATACTGCTCCATGTAGCCCATTTTTCACGAGCTGTGATATGGCAACAGCATTTGGTGGAAAGGGAAAGAAAACTGCCTTTGATGCATGGAAGGTTTACCCAGTGGTGACATTTGCTTTTTGTAACCTACCCACAGTACTTCAACTAATTACATCTGAGGATACGGCACTCGTAGAGATATTCATTGTGCTTCTGTATAGCCAAACATGTCCTGTCAAGCACTCTGCTCAAGGCACACAGTCCATGGAAAATATTCCGCCAAGCCAGGCTGCAATTACAGAACACGTTAAATGTGCTGCCTATCAAGGTGGTCATGTCTGGGACGAGCTTTGACACCACAACAAATGCTGCCAAGTCCGAATCAGCCACAGAGGGCTGCTGAATACCAAAATGAAACACACTACCAGAGGTGTCTAAGGCATGTTAAGAACGTATTCACTGAGATAGCCTGTAGAGGTCTCTGAAAATGTAGTAAAGTCAATCTAAACTGCACAGCACTGTGCTACTGTGCTGGAAGTTCTCATTAGGAGTAGTTCGTGTTTTTGTAATAGACATGATTTCTAGAAATGAGTCTGTATACATCTTGTCAGAGAATTATGTGTATCTGTTTGTACAAGTTAATTGTTTTCTATTTACACATTATGTACATATTAGTATATATAGATATAATAGGGACTGTTTTTGAAGTCGTAAATAAGTTGAATTCATCTTAAAAAAGTATTTCCATGTGAATCTCCATATGGAAAACCTACAAATGTACCAAATTTCATGTTTCTATCCAGATTTGAACAATTCTGAGCTTATTTGCTGGACCAAAAAGGTTTTAGTGAAAATTTGTTACAGGCTGCTAAATGATACTGAAGAAATTAGTGAGAAACATCACAGTGAGATTAAGATTTAATCTGTTAATGAAATTATAATTTCAGGCATATGAATTGGGAAATGATAGACTTAAACCTTAAGGAAGAAAGAAATACAGAAATGATCAAGAAGGTGGAAATTGGGGAACATCTGGGTCCAAACGTTTGATGTTTTGCTGTACATGGAGACCAGGAATTATATATTGGTTACAAATTTCAAACAATCAAATTTTGAAGGGATGCAGCAAGAATTATCTGTTGTGAATTGGGCAGTTGAGTTATTTGGAGAAATTGATCAAAAGTTTAAAATTTTTGAAGATAAGTTTTTAAATGTTAAAGATAAATATATTCCTTATTGAAAAAAAAAGGTTGTTGCAGGTAAAAAAAACCAGGTGGGCTCACAAAGGGTATAAGAGATGAAATTAAAGAAAAGCATCACAAATTTAAGAAATTTAAATTGATTGATATGACAAGGGATTTTAAAGATTATAGAGGATCAAGAACATTGGTGAAACAGGAAATTAGGACATTAAAAAGGGTGTATGAAAAAATGTTGGCTGAAAATGTAAAAATCAACAGTAAGGATTTCTTTAAATACATTAAGGGTAAACAAAATGTTAGGATGGGAATAGAACCCTTGAGGGATGATATAGGAAGGCTAGTATCTGATGGTTATGAGATGGCAGGGTCATTAAATTCTGGTTTTTCTTCAGTTTTTTTACTAATGAAGATTTAAGCAATATCTATAATCTTGAACAGTTGATAGATGGAAACAAGATGATTGCATTAATTCTGAGCTGGTTAAGAAAAATTGGAATTTTTAAAGAATGATAAGGCTCCTGGGCAAAGAGTTTGAAATTAAAAAGAAATTATTGAAGTAATGCTGTTTGAAAATTGTTAGAAACACATTAAAATATTTTAATTTTCAAAACTAGGAATTATTTTTAGAAATTATAAATCACTGCCTGTTTAGGCTAGTAAAATTGAATTTAATATATTTTTGGATTTAAGTAGTATGTATTTTAGAATATTACTGAAAGGGATAAAAGATGTTTTTGTTCAAAGTACTAGTGTAGCAAGTTGAGTTTAATAGTGTGTTGAGGAACTAAACTTTGGTGTGAAACCATGCAGAGAGATAAACTCAGAAGTGATCTATAAAGAAATTTTTTTTAACTGAATCCTGTTAAAATATAATTTTTAGTATTAACCCATTAACTGCCGATGACGGATATTTCCGTCATTGAAGTTCTATGGCTCGGCTGCGAATGACAGAAATATCCTTCAGTTGCACATATATAACTATAACTCTATGCGAATGACGAAAATTACCGTTTTATTGTGATTGATGACAACTCTGTTGTATCTGTGAGTCAGAAAACAGCAACTGAGCTGCTCCTGCTGCAGTTAATGGGTTAACTACTAGAACAGAAGCAGATGACCATAAAAGTGGAAAAACTACTTCAAAGACATATTTGAGATAAGGAAATTTCTAAATATTAAGTTTAAAAGTGTAGTTTGTATTTTGTTTTCTGTCTTAGGTAACAGAACTTGCACCATTACGTTCCCTCTTGGAATGCCTAAAGGAGCCAGATTTGAGGTCTAACTTTCCAGTAATCTCATTATGTGATTTCACCTACCAGATCTGTGATGGCATGCAGTATTTGGAAAGTAAACGACTTATTCACAGAGATTTAGCAGCACGTAACATCCTAGTTTTTGCTAAAAACAAAGTATGTTTTCTATGATATCAGAACTTAATAATAGAAAATTTGTTTTTAAAAGTTTTACACAGTATCTTTCACAAAAATGTTTACATTTTTTTACAGGTTTTTAGTCTTAGTTTTATATCAGATAATAGATTAAATCTTTCATTTTTTATGATGCTCATTAGATGTTAACTTGTGATCAGTTGGATAAAGCATCTGAAGTAAAGTATACTTCACTGTAAATAATACAGAGTAGTTGCAAATTTCGTTTTCTGCTTTCTACTTGTTTCGAGCGAGTGCATGATGTGGAATATCATAGCCTTGTGTCGAGCTGTAAACTATAGAATGTATAATTATGGAATATTTTTGTCTACACCTCAATCCTCAATGATAGGCTATAGAGAATGTATGTGTAGACAAACACATTCCATAATTATTCCATAATTATACATTCTCTATAGCCTAGCATAGAGGGGTTTTGTTTACAGCCCTATGCTAGGCTTTATAGAATGAATAATTATGAATGTTCTTGTTTACACCTCTATGCTAGGCTTTATAGAATGTATAATTATGGAATGTTTTTGTTTACACCTCTATGCTAGGCTTTATAGAATGTATAATTATGTAATGTTCTTGTTTACACCTCTATGCTAGGCTTTATAGAATGAAAAATTATGGAATGTTTTTGTTTACACCTCTATGCTAGGCTTTATAGAATGTATAATTATGTCTCTAAAGATAAGTATAGGATTCTAAATAAAAACATTCCATAATTATACATTCTATAAAGCTTAGCATAGAGGTGTAAACAAAAACATTCCTACATATCTTGGAATATCTTCATTTTTAAGCTGAATTCTTTGTCAAAAATGCATAATTTTGAAGATCAGTGATTTTGATTTTCTAACAAAAATCACATCTAAGCAATCATATTCAATTCTCTTTTTTTCCAAACCAAATCAGTTGTCTATGTATTAGTTTTTATCATTTTGTTTTTATATTTTCAGGTTAAAATCAGTGACTTTGGTTTGTCTCGAGCTTTGGGGGTAGGAAAGGATTATTATCAGACAAATTTTAATGTCAACCTTAAGCTCCCGATTGCATGGTATGTGTGTGTGTATTTTCATTGCTAAAATATATTAATCATCAAGAAATAATAGAATAATAAGATACAGTTTCATAATAGGTTTTGTAAAACTTTAACTATCACACCTTTTATATTTTTATATAAGTAGAAACTTCAGAATTAAGTCCTTGCCATTATGATTGAATAAATGTCAGGTTGGAAAATAGTTTGCAGTAAGGCAGTTATAAAAATTCCATGAGATAAAATTTGTCTTGTGTGAAGTTTAATACAATGCTGTTTTATGTGAAGTGCTTAAACTTCATACAATTAGCAGTTTTTTTTCTACAAATTATCATTAGTAGTCCCATAGGATCAAATGATTTTTTTATATTTTATTAATTTTTCTATGTAGGATAATGTAAAGAGATGGTTCGTAACAGAAGTAAACTTTCAGATGCCAACACACGGCAGCATTAGCATAATTTCATGAAGACCTTACAATTTCAGTGTCAAAAGATAATGTAAAATGTTGATTACCGTATTTTTTGGTGTATAAGACGCACTTTTTT